CATCAATTGAAGAACTTGACTTTGTTTGAGATTGAATCATTTCTACTTCGTAACAATTCCACCCTCAAGAACTTCCAAGGCATGCCTTACCCAGATTTTGATTGTGTATCTTCTTCTAATAATCGTTTGATTGCTGAAGAGTTATCTTATGACATCACAAGTCTTCAAAACGAATTTCAGACACTAATTGTTTCATTAACAAATGAACAACGAGGTGTTTTTGATGATGTAATGGCAGCAATTGAAGATAATAAAGGAGGTGTGTTTTTTGTTTATGGTTATGGTGGAACTGGCAAAACCTTTCTTTGGAAGACTTTATCAACAACTATTAGATCTAAAGGTCAAATTGTTTTGACTGTTGCTTCAAGTGGTATTGCTTCTTTGTTACTAACCGGAGGTAGAACAGCACACTCTCGCTTTGGTATTCCATTAAATCTTACTGAAAATTCAATTTGTTCTATCAATCGAGACAGTGATGCCTCCAAATTACTAAAACAAACATCGCTAATTATTTGGGATGAAGCACCGATGGTTCATAAGCATGCATTTGAAGCATTGGATCTCACTTTAAGGGATGTTTTAAGTTTTGGGAACGTTAGGAACTCACATATCCCGTTTGGAGGTAAAGTAATTGTATTTGGAGGTGATTTTAGACAGATTCTACCGATTGTTCCTAATGGTAGCAGACAAGAAATTGTCAACGCGTCGTTAAGTTCATCATATATATGGACAAATTGCAAAGTTTTGAAATTAACGAAGAACATGAGGTTGACTGTTGGAAAAGATCCGTCTGAAATACAACAAACAAGCTTATTTGCAAATTGGCTCTTGGATATAAGAGAGGGAAATGTTGGTGGTTCTAATGATGGTGATGCAGTTATCCGTATTCCTGAAGATCTTCTTATTACTCAATCTTCTGATCCTATCGGTTCATTAATTGAGTTTGTATATCCATCACTTCTTGACAACTTGAACGATCCCAAATATTTTGAAGAAAGATCAATACTTGCACCGAAAAATGAAGTTGTACAAGAAATAAATGATCGTCTGCTTTCATCGTTTCCTGGAGAAGAAAAAGAATACCTCAGTTCAGATAGCATCTGCCAAACAGAGTTTCTTCACGATCAATTTGATGAGAGTTTATATTCACCTGATGTTCTAAATGGACTTAAAATCTCCGGTTTGCCAAACCATAAGTTGATTTTAAAGGTCGGTGTTCCGGTTATGTTACTAAGAAATATCGACCAGAAAATGGGTTATGTAATGGTACTAGACTTCAGGTCGTATCATTGGGTAATCGCATCATAGAAACAGTGGTCTTAACTGGAAGTAACATTGGACATCGAGTTTTTATTTCAAGGTTGTCTTTAATACCTTCAGACAACAAAATTCCATATAAGTTCAAAAGGAGACAATTTCCCCTAGCGGTTTGTTTTGCTATGACTATAAATAAAAGTCAGGGCCAATCGTTAAAAAGGGTTGGGTTGTTTTTGCGAGAACCGGTTTTCTCACACGGTCAGTTATACGTTGCTTTATCTAGAGTAAAGAGTAGAGAAGGACTAAAGTTATTGATTTTAGATAAGGATGGTAATTTGACTAATAAAACTTCCAATGTTGTGTTCAAGGAAGTATTTCATAATCTATGTTGAACATTTATGTTTATTTTTTTTAAATCAAATAAAATTGTATTTACTTACCATCCACAATCAAATGCTTTTGTATATTTATTAATTTTTTTGTACTATATAAAATTTCTAACTTATATCCCGTGGTTTCCACGGGTTTTAACCTAGTATCCTAATAAAAAAGTGTGAGTGTGCCAAGTGACATCTCCATAGCCCCTCCACATAATTTTTTTCCGCCAAAAAGTTTCAATCTAAAATACCGAATATACCCGAAGAGCATTTCACCAAGATTTTGGTTTTCAAACTGAAGATCAGAGCAAATAGGATTGCTAATCTATTCCAAAATTAACGCTCAACATTCTAAACTGAAACCGATAAATCAGGAACTTCAACAAACTAATTTGTGTATATTGATTTTGTTTCCGCTTCATCTGATTCAAACTCTTTAATCAACTTCTTCTTCTCCTGGTTCTCTTTTTCCATTTGTAGCTCTTGAGCTTTGTTCAGTCGCAAACATTAATGACGTCTGGTACAGTGGTACGTTGCTTGGTTTGGTTTCACATCCTCTGGCTCTTCTTCCATCGATGTATTCCTCTATTCCACTCTCGTATATGTTAATTTAGTTTGGTTATAATCATTGTGTATGCTTTTCAGAATCAAGTTGTAGGTTTGAAGTTCACAACTTTTGCACTTTATGTAAGTGATTCTGAATTAGAATGCATATAAGGATCATCTGAATCGTAATAGTGTTTGGAAGATGAACTTCGAGGGTTTGAATTGGAATTTGATCAAAATTAGTTCAACTAACCTCGAATTGTGCGCTCCCATGGATTTCTCAAATTCGTGTGGGCAGTCTTATACTCAAAGACTAAAGTTTCTATAACTTCATACTGTTTTTCTTTGCCTAAACGCAAACCTGATAAATCTTATCCCCCACAAAACGCAAGGATTGGTATTTTGGTTATGTCATATTGTTCCCAAGGTTCTCTATTTGTATAATTATGAAGTAAAAATACTAGTTTGCCAATGGTTATCCTTAATGGTAATGATTTTTGTCCACTAGGTTCCAAACCATACGCTTAGAGCTAAAGGTTACAGCAATGGTTTTGAGAAAATATTGTCTTCATAACAAATTCAATACGAAGATTATGTGTTTTGGCTGGATGTATTTCAATAAAAAGACCTAAAGAGGTAAACTTGTATTTCCTTTTTTTATTTGCAAAAGATTAAAACTAATGCTTGTAGTTGTATTATTTTCTATTGGTTTATTCAAGTTTTAGCAATATCAATTATTTTAAGTAAATTTCTTAAGGTTTATGATGGTTTCAATAATATCGCTTTCTTCCGTTCTCTTTGTAGTTTATACAAAAATGCAGTTTAATTGCTTTTTATGCTGATCTTTTGGTATTATATTGTATTGATGAAAACTTTTTGTTGAGTAGAACCCGTAAGGATGCCAAGAAGAGATCCTCTGGTAATGAAAATTATGATCCAAGGAGTCTATACTTGCCTCCTGGCTTTTTGGAGAGTTTATTAGGTGGTCAGGTAATTGGCCCTTTTTGTTTACAAGTGATTAAATTGTATTACAATATGCAAGTATATGAAACAATATGCTTTTTGTTGAATATAGAAACAACGGTGGAAGTTCAAGTAGCAACATATGGACAAGGTTCTATTTTTTAAGTTAAGTCATATATCTAATATGGGCATAAGATCTCCAATTATCAAATATTTTTCTATAGAATGCACTTTTCTTAGTTGCTAACTCCATGTTACTAATCAGATGGGAAAGTTTTATGTGCCCTTAGAAATGGATGCATATGTTGGAGCAAAAGAATGTGAATAGTCTTGGAATGGTTTTGGTGTTTATGAAGGATAAGGGTATTTTGGTCATAAAGTAAAAATACATGAAAAAAGAATTCAAAATATTCATGATGTTTCTCAAATTTTTGATTGATTTGAATAAAATGATATTAAAACTGGAATTGATATTCAAGGGCCAAAAGATAGAAGAATTTGGTTTGAAATTATAAGAGTAATAGCAATATACTTTGCAATTATGATTTTTAAAACTCGAAATTTAATTTTTAAGTGGCATAATTTGGTATGTATTCAAACTAGAATAATTTAGGATTTTTTATTTTATTTTATTTTATTTTATTTTTTTTTGAAATTCAAGTTAGCTTTGATTTGCTTCTGGAACTTTTAGGACGAAAATGGCATTTGGCTCTCCTGGTACCACATATTCAAAAATCAAAATTGATTATATAATGATTTTATATAATTTGAGTATTTTCTATATGCTTAAACTTAAACGTAAACCAAAACAAAATAATGTGCAAAACAAGCAATTATTTCAAATGAAGATCTAAATTTTGTTATCCGATTAATTTTTTTTGATAATAACTTTTTATCACTTTACAATAAAGATTCCGTCCAATATGACGATTACAAAACAAAAAATATTTCGTTGGTGGAATGGCCAACATCAGTCAATGAAAGTTAACATTTTTATCTTGACATCATTTTATTATTTAACAGTCCACACCAATTATTTTATTTATGTGTTTATTCTTTTGTTTATATAGTTAGTTGAATTCAAAACGTTATTCTCACATAACGAAACCACTCATACCCAATTTCCTTTGAAAAAGACAATGACAATGAGAATTAAATAACATGTATTTGTTGTTTGTCCCCTAATAATCGAAACGTCTCTTTTGGCAAATATTCAACTTAAATCTACTTATTTCTGTTTCTATATCGTTATCGTTAATACCATTTTTTTTTTTTTTTTGAAGGGAGAGCTTAAGATATTTATATTACAATGAATATATTAATTTTAACTATTCATTATAAATTTACTATTATAACGGATATATTAATTTTAACTATTCATTACAAATAAAATTTACGGACAAATCTTCTATATTTTTAAGTTAATATATTTTTTACAAATATTTGATTAGTGATTATGATTTATGTATAAATTAATACATTTTTTTTACAAATATTCATTATAAATAAAAGTTACGGACAAATCTTCTATATTTTTAAGGTAAGACATTTTTTACAAATATTTGATTAGTGATTATGATTTATAATTATCAATAGTGTTTTGTTTTTCAACGGTATGTTTAAACTTAGTTGTCAAAATAAAACATGGATTGCATATATTTTACTAATGTTTAGTCTAATATTTATCGGATATAGAAAAATGGAAGGGTATGTTAGGAATATCACTTTGATGAAATATGAGATGTGAAATTGCTCGAGTCTTTTATCATAATAGAAAGAGAAAAAGATTTATCCCTAGGGTATTTGTCAAAAAGTAAATAAATTAAATTAAAAATGTGTATGTAAACATTTACTTTCCAACGAAAAAAATAATTTTTTAAAAAGTGAAGAATTCCTCTTTTCAAAAGCCAATAAAGAGTTTGAGATAATCCCAAACATGCCCTAAAGGCCCAAACCATAAGAATTATAACAGCAAAACAACAAATAACTTAATCAAAGGTTATACATCAATCCAAATTCTATATGACAAATAAAACAAAACAGTCAAAAAGCAAGAATACGAAGTGTACAAAATATTCCCCACTTATAGACGTCTCCATCGCACTTCATCTCTCCAAACACTAGAAACATCTGGTTCTATGGGCGCATATTTTGTTCTCATACATAAACACACCAACTAAACTCCATGTCTAGTTACTTGACAACAGTGACAGCACAACTCGCATTTTGCACCACGTAGCTGCTTACACTCCCAAGCAACACCCTGTGAATATATTCAAATCTTATACAATCAATCATCTAAAACCCAAAAAACACATTCAATTATCAATATTCATTGGATCGATCATATATATGCTCGTATGCATACCTTTTAATGGCACCGAGACCTCTGCTTCCAAGAACAAGAGAATCGAGTTTCAGAAGATTTACAGCTTCACAAAGCTTCTCCCTTGGATCTCCCCAGTATACCTTCGCAACAACCTTAGCCTTCATTTCACCAAAACCAATAAGTATATGATGTACGAATATGGAATCATGTAATAAAGATTTAAAACCTAAACAGTGGTTTAGATGGATATTAGAATTAGGGTTACCATTTTATCCCGGGAAACTGAGTCAAGCATGTCAAAGAGCTCGGAATCAGGAGTGATTCCATATTTCTTGCACACACCAGGCTCTTTCAACTCTATCAATGGTATCAAAGCTGCATGTTAATATATTAAGTTAATATATCACCTGTTCAAAAGATATTATATTAATAAAACTTATCAAAATACGCCATGTGTAGTCTTTACTTACGTGATCCGGTGTCAGCAAAGAGTTTCTTGTTAGCGGGATCTGATTTCGGCGACAAGACAAGGATGACGACGATGATGTCTCCGGCTTCAATAAGATTATCGATCGCCCACTTCAACGCTGATTTGCTTGTTGCTGAGTAATCCATCCCGATTCCTATCGTACGAGCCTTGGCCATTTTTCACGCTTTTGTTTTTTCGAATATATTTGGATTGAAATCAGAAATATAACGAAGAAGAAAAGAAGCTAGCTTGAGTTATGAACCACCGATGACAAGTATATCCTGTTGATGGTGGTATTTATAGGTGGTAAATCGGTGTGCCGCCAACTTATTTTGGTATGTATAGTAGGGATTCGGTGTCTTGGCTACGTAATAAAAGAGTAGATTCTGGAAGAAAGTAGAATGGAATATTTGAGCGATTGGGACCCGTAAATGTAACTTTTATTCATCAACGATCAATAAATAATTAAAAGGAATCATTATGGCAATCTAGACAACTTTAAATATAGCATGATTTTGTAAGAATTATATATATATATATATATATATATATATATATATATATATATATATATATATATATATATATATATATATATATATATATATATATATATATATATAGGTTCAGGTTCATTTGAGACCATTCTAATTTTGTTAGACCGTGAGACCAAATCTAAAAATAATTTTAAAATGCAAAATAAATGGAAAAATCCAAAATTTTTTTTTTTTTAAATATTATTTTCGGAACTTGAATTAACTAAAAAAATATAAAAAAATATAAAAAATATAAAAATAAATAAAAAAAAATTCCGTTTTTTTTTTTTCTGAAAAATACGTGAAATATTCTAAATAGAATATTAAACTGATATATTCTAAAAAATAATTTTAAAATGCAAAATAAATGGAAAAATCTAAAAATTCTTTTTTTAAATATTATTTTCAGAACTTGAATTAACTAAAAAAAATATAAAAAAATTCTATTTTTTTTGAAAAATACGTGAAATATTCTAAATAGAATATTACACTGTACATATTCTAAAAATAATTTTAAAATGCAAAATAAATGGAAAAATCAAAAAATTCTTTTTGTAAATATTATTTTCGGAACATGAATTAACTAAAAAAAATAAAAAAATAAAAAAAATAAAAAAAAATAAAAAAAATGCGTCTCACGGTCTCACAAAATATAGGTGGTCTCAAATGAACCTAACCCTATATATATATATATATATATATATATATATATATATATATATATATATATATATATATATATATATATATATATATATATACCAAAATTACTTTGTGAGGAAATACTACTGTTATTTTAATTTTATTTTTCACGATTGTTGCTGCCATCTCCTTTTTATTTTCAACGATTTTGTCACATTTCTTCCGGAATAACATAAAAGTTAAAAACATGTTAACTAGTTTAAAATTGGGAAATAAAAGCCCAACGAAAATTTCAAACTATTCAAAAAATCTCAATCATGTTTTTTCTGTTCAAAAAAATTTAACGAATTTAATATTTTGTCTAAAAAGTCCAACAAATGTCAAAACGTTTAAAATTGCTATCAAAATGCCTATAAATGTACTTGTAACATCTTTTTTTCGGGGCTAGAAGTTTTTGGTTTTTTGGTAAAAATAAGAAGTTTCTTTAATTTAAATCAAAATAAAATTGAAATGAACTAAATAAATTCATGAAAGTAAATTGTTTTGATTAATAACCATAATAAACATTATTGCTAAGTCATAAATAAATTCGATAGTGTTTGGACATCGAATGAAAACTTTTAAGGTTTAGGGGCTAAAAGTGGCAAATTGGGAAAAATTGTGTTTGACCCGATAGTTTGACCAAATAAACATATAGGATTAATTTGTGGAAGTTAAGATAGGTAAAGGCTATTTGTGGGCTAGAATGAGCATTTGGTGATGTTAGGGACCATTTTTGAAGAGAGTTTTGGAAGATGGGTCAAAAATGTAAACTTTGCCAAATCAGGGGACCGCATCGCGATTTATTGTGTGCTGCACTGAGATGTTGGTGCTGAAAATATTATAACAATTTTTTTCAACCTCCTTTTCTCATTCATTCTTCCCATTTTTTCTCTTCTCGGTTCCAACAATCAATTCCACCTTCATAATTGATTTTCAATCAGATTTCTTGGTGTTTTGAAGATTGGAACTCCTAGATAAATCATTGTTGAAACCTTCTCAACATCATGCTTTAAAGAGGTAAATTTCTCTCCTACTCTCCCAAAATTCGATCTACGATTTTGCTAAACATCAAATCTGAATTTTATGGTTAAGTTGTGATGTTAATGTGAATTTTAACTCCTTGATCTATCTACAAACTCCAACTAACAAATAGTTGGGAGATTTGTGAGATTTAATGCTAGTTAATGGGCCTAGATCTTTAAATCTAAATTTGATGCTCCAATCAATGATATGAGCTTAAGTTTATTGTTAGATGGAACATTTCCCTTCAATTAATGATCCATTTGTCAACCTTTGGCTTATAGTGAGATTCCATGATGTTTGAATCAAGTTCTAGTTCCAATGGTGATAACTTGGGTATTTTCAATTCTAGGGTTTATTGATTCCAAGCAATGATATGAAGTTGGATATGTGTTTAGATTGCTTGTGTCCCCTCAAAATTCAAATCCATGACTCATTTGTTAATTCATGACTAATTGTAACATTCACAAATCAGGTAAATTACATTTCGAACCCTTTTGTGTGAAAGTTTTTGCAAAATGGGTCCCTTGTAGCTTTTAGAGGAAACACATATTCATTGAGTACGTTGGGCGTACGTCCAATATGTTGGGCCTATGTGGCCTGGACCAAACCCTAGTATTTAGTGTTTGTGCACTATTTAAACACCTTTATAACCCTATTAACCTTTTTTTTCATCAGCCTCCAGCCCCATTTTGTACCATAGCTAACACTAATCTCTTAAGTGAAGAAATCATGACCTTGAGTGTGTATTTTGGTGTTCTTGAATGAGGAATAAGGAAGGGAACCCATCTTAGAAGAGCGGCGTACTTTGGATCCAGACTCACAACATCATTTAACACCACTTGGAGGTAAAAAGCTCTGATCTTTATGTAGCTTTGTTTATATCTTGATTAGGCATGGATTTGTGTTCATTTTGGTCACATAAGCTTGGTATTATGAGTATGGGTTACTCTAATTCATATGAGTTGTCCTTTCAGACCTCTTGGAGTGTTTAGAGTCATAAAAATCTAATCTTGGACCTTAGTTTCCTTCCATGCATGAACTAGGATGTCTTAATGAGTTAAGAAGTTAGGGTTTTTAGTATTGATCACTTAATAGCCATGCAAGACCATAACGTTGGAAACTTGATGGTTAAGGAAATCATTTGAGGACTAGATATGGATTTTGGATGAAAGAGTTCAAGGAATTAAGCTCTTAATAGAAAGGAAAAAGGGGGTTGCGTATGTTGGGCGTACCTTGGGTACGCTGCGCATACGAGGTCAACGACCCCATTTTTGATCAAGACCCTAGTACGCTAAGCGTACAAGCTGAGTATGTTGGGCGTACTCAGCTGAGTTGACTCGGTTGACAATTTGACTTTTTAACTTTGACCATGATTTGACCAAGTTTGACCTAGGGTATTTTGGGTATTTTGAGTTGTAGTTGAGATTTGTCACTATCTGATGTATAGGTGACAACTAGAGTTGAGATTTAGAGTAGTGACCTATTCAACTATCTGTTCAGACTGAGAGGTGAGTTTTCCTCACTATACTCGTGTGTCGAAGGTACCAATGTGTTGGATTAGGTGTCTAAGCCCATAACTATAATTGGTATGTACTTGACTAGATAATAACATGGTCCTTTTGGGTTGCATTCACTAGAGCAATTTGATAGGATGGATATTTGAGAAAGAGGTATCTATGATTTATTAATATATTATAATAACAATATATTAATTGAGAAATCATATTATTTAATTGGTATTGATTAAGAATTAATTTGGAATTAATTTAGTGATCAAAAGAGACCAATTAAATTTACAGGGACTGATTAGGTAAATCATTAATACTTATAGTTTGGGCTAATGATCCATGTTGATTAAGGATGGGCTAAATCTATGTGAGAGTCCATGAAGAGTTAGTGCAAAGGTCCTATCATATGGATCATTAGAATACTTTAGGTTTAAGTAAATTAGGGTTTTATGTATGAAACCCTATGAATTCCACACTATAAATACTAACCCTTGCACTCCAAAATCATGACTAGTGTTCCAAGAAGAAACCCTAGCTGATGTTGGTGCCTCATAACCTCTCTATCATATTCCTCCTCTTGCTTTTGGTGTTTTGTGACGCATTAGAGGTATCAAACTTGAGGTAATAAGCTCTTGAAAGGCCAAGAACTACAAGCTACAACAACGAGATATTCATCTAACTAAGTTTTATGTTGTATATTTCCAATTGCATGCTAGCTAGGGTATATGCATTGGATAAAATGAAATTGCATGTATAACTTGAGAAAAATTAGATCTAAAGTATTAGGGTTTTATGTGCACCATAGGGATGTTATAGTGCTCAAAACCTAACATAATGCTGGTCCACTAGTGTCACAACTAGGAATTCTGATGCGTTGTAAAGCAATTAACAAGGATAACATTGTAACTAAAACTTGAGAGCATGTATGATGCTTATTCAATCACAACAAAATTCCATCAAACACTCTATACAAACATTCAAATAGTCAACAAAAGGTTCGAAACCCTAAAAATCCCGGTTTAAGTCCATTATGGACTAGGATTTCCTTATTAGGCCTAATGGACCAATAAGTTTCCAATTTGACTATTTGGGCTTAGAACTCTTAAATGGGCTCTAATTAGACCCACTCTCATGAGACTTAACCTTTTTGGGCCTTATAAGCCTAAAATGGACTAGTTTATCTTTAATGGGCCTTATTGGGGCATAACAAATCCAATTAGATTTAATGGACTCAAATCCATTCCTTTATACTAAATTGGGCCGTGAACATCCCTAGAAGCCCAATGGGCTGAAAAATAGTTATTTAACCTCATAATTTGGATCAAGACTTAGAATGGGCCTAAGATGATTCCTTTCCTCTTCCTTAGCCCATTTCAGCCCACCAACAACAAAAAAAATGAAAAATGAATTGGATACAATAGAGTTGACTAGGAGATGCCACCTCAATAAAATCAATCATGTATCCATGCAATAATTCCTATACATCCATGCAAGTCATCTCACATCTCTCTTTCCCTCTCTCTTTTTCTTCCTCTCGTTCGAGGCTACCTACACACACACACATCACCATTGTAAATTACTTCAATCTCTCTCTAGAACACCTTCATCTTTCCTTCAAATTTTCGAGAACCATAAGGGCTTCAAGAAGAATCTTATTCAAAAACCACTTCTAACTACATACTATTAGTAAGATCTTGCAAAC